CCGGCTGGACACCATCCTGCGGCACCTCTCCCCGCGGCTGGGAGCGGTCCCGGCTCCTGTATCCTTTCCGCTGTGGGATGGGGAAGGGCCGGTAGCAGCCAAGACTTTGGCTCCCTGTGGGTCGGGACTCCGCTTCCCCCAGCCCGGCGCACTCTGCCCCTCGCTCCCCGCGCCCTTGTGGGTCCGTGGTTTGTCCTACAGGGACACCGGCCTGGGAAGGACACACAGGGCGAGTCCTGTCTTGTGTCCTGCTGCCGAGAGCAGCGCTTCCGTGGCAGCCCTGACTGGAATTTTGGGGTCAGCACTTGACCCACCTCAAAACCTCTCTCTGAGCTTCATCCCCGCAGCCTGTGGGGAGCTGGGATGTGCATCTTGGCAAGGCCCCAGCACGGCCCCCCCAGCACCGAGCCACAGGCTTCCCTGCAGTGAATTTTCCTCTTAGAGATTCAGGGGGGTTGAGGAGGTAAACTCTGCGTGACTTAGAAATCGCACGGCGAGTCAGATTTCTTTGAAAGGTACAGACTCGACTGGTAGAGCAGCAGCAGGAAAAACATCAAGGTTTGGTTTGTGAATGGGAACCGAGGTGGAAATGTTGGAGGCTGCTGGCATAAGGCAGAGGAAGCCCAGGCAGAAATAAGTTTTTGTGATGATATGTCCCATGGTTCCAAAAGTCAAGTGGAGACTGCTTGCTGAGAATATTTTTAAAGCTGCTGTAATAAATGTTGCTTTAAAAAAAAAGCTGCTTTTTCACAGGGCAGAATGCTGACAAGTTATCTCTGAATTATAATACATAGAAGAGGATGTGATTGAACAGGATGTAGGAGTCCTCAAATCGATTAAAAATATGAAGGCAGATGGATAATTGTTGACTCAGACTGCTATAACACAAGTAGGAACACAAAATTAGGAATAAATGGTGGGGAAAACACCCTGGTTGTAAAGATACAGGAAGTAGGGGGAGGTGCTGCACAACCTGTTTGTTTTTAAATCTGGGTCATGATGCAAATAGCTTTGGACAAAAACATGACTAAGCTGGGCTGGAGCAAGAAAGGTGCATGGATAAAGTATGACAGACTCTAATAAGAACAGATTTATTTGATGCACCAAATGGTACATCAGTTTTCTGATTTTGTGTTAATCTCTCATGATTTCAGTTGTCCAGTCAACCCAGACTTGTCTTCTGAGTGTTGCTAAGTGTCAAGAGCAAAACCAGTGAGAGGAAGAGGCACTGCAGAGCCTGGGAGGAAGGTGCTGAAATGGAGTCCAGCACTGGGTGGACTTGTCTGCTGTCCCTCCATCTGGGGAGGTGGAGGTGCTGAGGAAGGCCCTGTGCTGGGGTTCAGCAGGGCCTGTGTCTCCATCAGCTGTCTGTGGACATTTAGGAGCCTGAATGGTCAGGAGTCCCGTATTCACTGAAGTTAGGCCTGAAATGTGGGGTGTGTGGGGCACTACCGCCCTCACTTGGGGGATTCCTTGCTCGGGGACTGCTGTGGTGGTTGCCAGCTGGTCTCCCCATCTTCTCTCTGTCTTCCATCCAGTTCCCATCACCTTTTCCTCCCTTGTCTCATCATTTTTGCAACATGTTTTTGCATGTGTCGTTCTTCTCCCACTGTATGTGACTTTTGACAAGATAAAGTTTAAGCTTCCTGGTGTGGGGACAATAGACATAGCTGCTTGAAGAAACCTATTTCTTATTCTCAAAGCATTCATGCTTTTATGAGCAGTAGAGGAAAGTCAGTGGTTTTCATAAAACTCTGAAACAAACATGCATGTGCAGACCAAAAGATCAGCATGAAAATGCTCATTTTTGTTATGGAGGACACTTCAATATCATGCCTAAAGCTGTTGTGAGGCTTATTTAGCAAGTTGGGTTTAACTGCCCTGTTGATGAGAATGTGTCTCTGCATAAGAGAATACAAATTCTTTTTCAAAACCTGTTGAAATGAAGTGGAGGACAAGCCTAAAGCTCTCCTCTCTTCCTGCTGTCCCTGTCATTTGGGAGGGACCTGATCTTCGCAGTAACTGGAGAGAAGGTGAAGGTTTGCAATGGTGTACAAGAATATGAAACCTCAGGTTTACCGCTGCTGCTTATTGTTTTAGATTATTTTCATTTTTAGAATATTTCTTATTATCATTTATTATTATAGAAGCAAAATGAACATGAACATGGATTGAGTGTCCAGCACAGCACCTGCCTATAAGATGAGCAGCACACAGGAATGAGGACTTATGCTTATAGATAATGTTCTAATCTATTTTGCTTGATTGTATATTCCTTAATTCCCACTCCAGATAAGCATTCCTACTTCAGCCCAAGTCAGTGTTGTTCCTCATTCTGGGAAGTTTTGGTAAGCTCCATCTTCCTTGGTAGAGATAGAAGCAAAGTAACCTTCAGAGCTCAGTTCTTCCTTTCCCCAAGCACACGTGTTGGTCACTGGACATGGTTAATGTGTCCCTGTGTGTCCCAGCTACACCCTGGACAACGATCTGCTGACCACAGAGCAGAGGCAGTTCTATGAAGACAATGGGTACCTGCTCATCAAGAATCTCGTTTCTGATGAGGACATTGAGCGCTTCAGGTATGAGGCAGTTGCCTGGGGGGAACTCTGGGAAGCTGGAGATGGTTGGGTTCTTCCAACATGGACATTCCCTCTGGTTTGCAGGAAGGAGTTCACGAGGATCTGTAAAAGAGAGGTGAAGCCACCAGGAATTATGATTATGAAAGATGAGTCCCTGAAGTCCCAGTTTGGTCAGTCTGAAAAAGTGGTTAATAAGGTGCAGGACTTCCAGGAAGATGAAGAGCTGTTCAGATACTGCACTCTGCCAGAGGTAAAACAAAGGGTGGTGGTGGTAGAAGAGTGTGTATGAAGATACCTGACCCTGCAGGTCATTCCCATAAACACATAAGCGAGGAAGGAAGATCAGGTTGGCTTTTAAGAGTTCTCCATGAACAGGGCATGATTGGAGGTTGGGGCAGAAGACTTAAAGCAGTGCTGCTCTGCCCCTGATGTGGAGCCAGTCAGGCATGTGACTTGGCCAAACCATGGCAGGCTAGAGAGACAGATCAGCAACATCTTCTGAATGTGTTTTATCCAGGCAAACATCTGTCACTGGGCAGGTCCAGCCTTGCAACTGATATTCATGTGGCAGACACTGCTCTCTGGGAGTACCTTCCCCATCTTTTCTACCCCTCCCTGCAGACTGCAGCACCATCTTCCCTCTTGGCCTCCTCCCACCATTTCCATTTGTGTGCCATGCCAGATCCTTCCTCCTGTCCTGCATCCCTCCATCCTCCCCTGTCTCCTTCTGTACCCTTGTCCTCAGCCAAACACCAAGTGCCCAGTGTTTCCTCAGAATATTTCCTCTTGTTCTTCATGTTTCTATTTTTTTCTCCTAAAGTTTTTTTCCTTGTAGGTCCTCAAATATGTTGAGTGCTTCACAGGGCCAAACATCATGGCAATGCACACCATGCTGATAAATAAACTTCCAGATTCTGGTAAGGAAAACTTGGATTAGAGGAAAATGGATAAATTATTGTGTGTATGCCAGAATTGAACTTAGTATTTTACAAAAGCTGTAAAACAAATTAAACCCAAATAACACTGAAAATTTATAAAGCCATTTTGGTGATAGTTTGTTTGATTTTTACCTTGGTTTAATGAGACAACATGAGAAAACACAGGAGAGTTTTTGAGGCTGCACAAAGTTTAAATAGAATGGCAAATGAGGGAAGTAGAAATATCCTAACTGTGTCTATTTAAGGAGCAAAATCAATGGCAAAAGAAGTATATAAATTATATATAAAAGGCTCTTTTGGTGTGGACTGTGTTTCCATTTCCATGGGGGGATAAAATAACAAGCAAAACTTCAAGAATATTTATTTTTGTTTAGACTTAATGGAAGAGAGCCTCTAGGGCATGGACTCTCTGTGGAGGCTGGAATCCATAAATTGAGATTTTTTTTCCCCCTTTTTTTAAAGAGAAAGCTAAATAAACATGAGCAGGGATGCAGCACAGACAGGGTTTGTTCTGCTTGCATCACAGCAGTACATCCAGTGCCTGCAGACAGCACAGCTGTTGGAGCTTTGTGCAACACTGTGCTGGTCAAAGTTCTCAAAACCGGAGAGCAGCCAAAATGAGTGATGAAAATGTGTGGTGGTGGTGGTGAAGGCCAGCAACAGGAGCCTTTTGAGGGGTCACAGAGCTGAGCAGCCTCCTGGCTTTCACTGTGTGACCCAAGAGCCACCTCCATGGTCCATTTTGGGGTGGGATGGCAGCTCACTTCCTTGGCTTCCGTGGCTGGGCTGGAGCAGGCACTGAGTACACCAAGTGTCTTCAGCAGGAAGCAGCATCTCCTTGGGATGTGCTACAGTGGTTCAACAGGAAGGAAAAGGCTGTGTCACATTTGATGAAGCTGAAGGTTTCTGAACCTGTATTGCAGACAAACAGACTTTTCTGCACCCCATGCATCAGGACCTGCACTATTTCCCGTTCCGGCCTGCGTCCCGCATCGTGTGCGCCTGGACCGCCATGGAGAGGGCTCACCAGGACAACGGCTGCCTGGTCGTGCAGCCAGGGACACACAAGACAACCCTGAAGCCTCATGGTTATCCAGAGGTAGAGTGTCATGGAGGGCTTGGGAAGGGCATGCAGGAAGGGGATGTGTTTTGGCTGGGAAAACTTAACTGTAGGGGAAGGATGTGCAGGTCAAAGCTGAGGCTTTCAGTGATTTTTTTTTTTTTTTTCTGTTTATGCAAATACTGATATTTATTTGGGAGACAGTTTCTTGGGTGACATCACTCCATGTGACATGGGCAGATTTGCCTCTCTTCCCACTTTCACCTGGGAAATGTCCAGCACGTTGTGGCATGACAGCATAAACACATGCCAACATTTTCCACTGCCCTTGCCAAGTCTGAGTGCTCTGTCTCCTGTCAACTTGTTCCTGCCTGGTAGCATGTGTGCTGCTCCAAAGAGGAGGAGTCTGACAGTAAACAACTGGATGGAATAAAATACCAAGTGGTATCTTCTCCTTAAGAGTGTGTGTTTCCTGGCCTGGACTGTCACTGGTGATGGTTATACCAGGAGCAGCAGGCTGGACTCCAGCAGTGGCATTGGCCACCTTTGTGGGGTTTCTCAGTGCTCTCTACAACTGAGAATGTCTTTGTACAAATCCAGCTGCAGAAAATATAGAAAATACAATTTTTCTGTATGTCAGGCTGGAGGTAGAAGGACTAGTAGGCAATAGTCAGACTTCCAGCTTGGCATATGGAATACTCTTTGCAGGGGAAAGCAGATCCATAGCTGTCCCTACTGCCCTACTGTGCTCTGAAAATCAGCACTTCCTCTAATTTTAACTGAGTGATTTCAGTTCAGCCTTTTTCTTTCCTAGAGTAAAACCAACAAACTTTTCCATGGACTGCTTGATGAAGATGAGAAGATTCCCAAGGTTCACCTTGTCATGGAGAAGGGAGACACAGTGTTCTTCCATCCCCTGCTCATTCATGGCTCTGGGATAAACAGGACATCAGGGTTCCGAAAGGTAGGAAAATAACTCTTGATAGAGTTTTTTATATTCTTGATGCTTTTAAAAAAAAGTATCCAACTGTTATCCCTCTTTCTGTTGTTAACCCCCAGCCCCTTTGGATCTATTCTCAGTTCATGAATATGTGGATGTTCCAAGCAGTTTTTATCTTCCTATTATACTTTAGCACTCTCTTGTTTTTTTTATTATTTTTAAACATCTGTCTTCTTTTAGAAGAGCATACTGTGCAGCTGCTTCAGAAAAACAGAACAGGAGTAGAAATTAGATGTTGAATCTATGTTTAAATTAAAGCCTGTCTGGCTGTACTTGCTTTTCTGAAAGTTCCCTTTCAGCTGTCCCAGGTATCAGGACTTTCCCTATTTTTTTCCCCCTGTCTTCTTGGTATCCCACCTCTGGATAACAGGAGTCACCATCATTCAATAAAATATATTTATTTATATGATTGCACAACCCATTTTTCTATTAAAGATTTGTTGACATGCATGATTATTTAAATGAAACAGGCAAAAGTGCCCTTGTTTGGAGGCCTGGTCCTGTCTCAGAAGTGATTCATCCAGGCACTGCAGCACGGGCTGCTCTGGTTTTATTTTGGTTTGCCTATTGTGTGGCCTGTTCTTTCAGCCCCTGTGGCAGTTTATTGGTGGATTCAAAATAAGTGTATTGTGACCCTCTGGGTGCAGGAGCCAAGAGCCCTCTCAGAACACACAGGTCTGCTCCAGCCCTGACTCTCCCTTTTTCCACTGCAGCTGCTGATATTCTGAGATCAAGTAGTACAGCTCAGGCTGAGGGAGTGAGGGGGAAAAGGGAAGGAAGAAGAGGATGTCAGCAGCAAGAGTATTTCTCCAAGGGGATGCTTTTTGGAACACTTGGAAAGGAAGGAATTTGCTGACATGATCTGTAAGGAAGGAGGGATGTGTCCACAATCTGGAATGCACGAGGTTTTTTTCCAGCAGTTGTTTGTAGTTGATGTGACAGTGAGTGGTGCCCACTTTCCTCACTCAGAGCATCAGCTGCCACTTTGCCAGCTCAGAGTGCCACTACATCGATGTCAAGAACACGACTCAGGAAGACCTGGAGAAGGAGATGCAGGAAATGGTTTGCAAGAAATACGATGCGACTTCTGTGGAGCTCAAGGTGAGACTTGGCTCAGTGCCCTTTGTTGCAAACCAGGTCAGTTTCCTTTCCCAAGTCTCTCATGTGGCAGATTGGTGCTCTTTGCTATGCCTAGTTTGGCAGATCAGCTGTACCAGGCAAAGGTGCTTGGCAGGATAAAAGACCTGATGTTCAGAGGATGATTGGCAGGCTTTTTTGGGGCCTTTTTCTTCATCATGCCTTGCCCTCTGGCAGCCTCTTCACATCCCTGGAGCTCCAAAAGTTCCTTCTGAAGCTCTGCTTGTAAATAGCTTAAATATAATTCCACATCAGTTGTTTATACTCCAGGCTACAGCAGGTTTGACAGCAGTGATACACATCTGCCTCAAAAAAAAAATAAGTGGGACTAATGGACTCTTGCTGAATAACTGAGACCATTGAGTAAAATAGAAAGCAAATGTAAATTCTTCAGGGATCCAGGCACTGAAAGAAAAATAAACCTTGTTACTGGGGTGAAAATGTTCTGAATGCCTTAATCCACAGCAATTCCCAAGGGTGTGCAAAGCCACTATCAGTGCAGTAAAGTCTAGATGTAAAAGCAGCAATTTTCTTCTAAAATGTAGATGTTTTACAATAACTGGGGCTTTCTGGAGGGGGGGACTTTCTTTCTCAACCTTGGCATTTTTGTGTTGTTCTGCGTGTTTCCCCCAATGTGCCTGGGTGTGGTGGAGTGCCCAGCTGTGTTTTGCAAACTGATCTTTCATGTCTGTGAAACCACGGCTTGCTTGGCTTTTGGTTCCTGGCTTATTTAGGTACTTGGTGATATCTGAAGGGATATGTAGTGAGGCTCTCTCCTTCTCCTGAGTGGAAATGAGGTTGCTCTTACAAACCCCAGAGAAGTCTCTATGTTTTTGTTTCGATTTAAGGATGTTTTTTAGCCAGAGTTGAAGTTTTCTCCCAGAGGAGTGCCCAGATCTTATTTTGCCTTCACAAGATGATAAAAACTAGGTAATCCTCTATTCCCATCTCTGTAAACTGGAATCCTGGTCACTGTGTTTTTCTGGCACTCAAGGTGATTTTCTTTTGTCTCATTTTTGTTTTGAAGGATATTTGGAACTTCCGAGCACGGCTTGTGCAAGGGGAAAGAATCAACCTGTAGAAGGCCCTGTGAAGAACAGGATGGAAAACATGGGCCTGAGAATGAGGTTCTCTGAGGGATGAACACTGACCCTGCCTGAGCAGGCAGAATTCCCTTTGTTGATCTCTGTAATGGTAACTTAGCCAAATGCTGCAAAATTGTTTTATGCTAATTCAGAATAATTGCACTGAGCTTGGACTGCTGATGTATGTCAAAGGAAAACTAAGCTAGAAAAACAGATTTGTGGCAGGTGTCTTAAACAATAGAAGAATCAAAGTCTTGAAAGAACACCTTGGTTTTCTTGATGTTTTTATTCTTGTTTCTTAAAAGTTTTTAACATGACACACATTTAGAATGATGCTATAGCAACGTAAGATTTTATGCAAGAATTTCCAACTCCCTTTCCTATGCAAAAAAAGAAATAAAAAAATCAGTTTCAGACAAGCCCTCAGTGACATGGGGTGAAGATGTGGGTGCTGGTACCAGCAGAATCAACGGTGTAAGGAAATGGCTAAAGAGAAAGCAGCAACCACTCACAGAGAAAAATGGAATTATGGACAGGAATATGATTGCTGGTAGAGTTCCTCAAGCGTGGTTTGGCGTGGCATCGTACCTGACCAAGCAGCTCTGGCACAGGTGAAATATGAATCTGACAGTATTGGGAGCTACTGGGCCAACAAAGCAGCTTCCCACTGGCCTTGCACAACTGAACCAAGGCTGTGTGAAGTGAGGGAATCCTTTGAGTCTGGCAGGTCTGGAAAAAGGTACCTTTGGCTGCTGCCAGGTTGAGGAAGTGTTTGGATGCTCCCCAGGACGCAGTGGTGGCAGGGTGGAGAGATGCACACTGAAATGATCCTCTTGCCTTTTACAGTGTTTTTCCTTGCTTTTTGGAAGATTCTTTTGCTCTCATAATCTATTTTTTGAAATAAAGAATAAACCAGAGTGAAACTGCACTCAAGGGCTGTGTTGTGTCATTGCTGCTGCTCAGAAACTGGCAGTGTCATTGAACACCCCAGTGCAAAGCATCAACCCTCAGTTTGCTTCCACTTCCCCCCAGTCCACCCAAAGATGTCAAAACAGCACCAAAGGCTGCAGTGATGGGGTCTTGTGGCACCTTCTGCCTTGTTTTGTGATTCTTTTATCTTCGTGCAGCATCTCTAGGATTTCTTGTTTGTTTGTTTTTTAAAGAAGGTGAGGTTTGAGCAGTTAATTATTGGTCCTACACCCTTGGTGCCGGAGTGAGGTGTCTGGGCTGTGGTTCCCACATGGACACAGACATATCCTCTCAGCAGCCTCTGGTTTGACCACAACACCAAGAAGTCTGATGAGGGGTCAGATCCCCGTCCCAGCTTAGTGGGTGATTTTGGGTGTCCTGGTTGCACATGTCCTCTGTAACGCTGGCACTGATCAGCTCCTGTGGAGAGCATGGGCCCAGATGAATGATTTCCAGTGAGTTGGAGATCCCTCTGCTGAGTCCTTTCCATGGGATTTTTGTGAGAACTTGCTGTATTGTGTCTGGTTCACAGCACAGGATTCATGAAGAGACTTCCCTGTCTGGCATCACTGGTGGAGCAGGGTTAACTGCAGAGGGAGCTGTGACCACAGAGAAGAGCGACAGGTGTCACATTCCCACTTTCAAGACTGAATTTCTTACTATAGCCAGGAAAGAGAAGGAAGGTTAGCTTTGTTTTTAAAAATTTATACACCTTGCCTATGGAATGAGTCTTAAAATTGCCTCTTTCAGAAGAACAAACCCATCAATGACCTCAGAGGTCATCTAAACTCATTGTCCCACCCAATGAAACTTGTGTCCTCCTTCCTCCCGACTGTTTGGTAACCGCCCTCTGAGGCAGGCTGTGCTTGTTCTGCTGGGCAGAACACAGCTGGATGAAGCTGGATTCTCCCAGAATGGATGTGTGGTGTTGCTGGATACTGCCCCTGTAGCAATAACACCTTTGAGAAATAAACTTCCAGATCCGTTAGCAGAGCTTCAAGGGTCAGGGAAATGCAGAAGCTGTTGAAAGGCTTGGGTTGCTGTGTTTTAGTGGAGCAGCACTTACCCTATGAGAAAACTTGCTTGAAATTAAAAGCAAAATATTTAAATTTATTTGGTAATAGTGTGTTTTAGTTTAGCCTTGGCTTGGTGGGATGTTTCTTAAAATTTGCTGTAGGTGTTCAGTTCACACTGGAGGTATTTAGGAGGTGCTCCTAAATTTATGTAACCGCATGTTACATCTAAAACTTTGTTTCCAACTAACTTCATGTTCCTGCACTTTAGATTAACCATGTTAGCCGTCCTTCTACTATGTATTTTTAATAGCAGCATCCAAGTTTCAAAGAGGAACATGTAAAAATTAGACATCCAGCTGCTTATTTGGCCATCTGCAGTTGCATGAAGCTCCAGTGTTTCAGACACTTTTTTTTATTTGCCTTGACATTTCACATGTGTTGAAAACAAAGGCTTCCTGGAGCTTGGTAAAAGACAATAAGCACAGAGAAGATCTTTTGCTTAGAACTTACGTGCTATTTTCCAGACTAGCAGTTCAGAAATGTCAGATTTAGTCTGACTCCTGGCCTTGCTGACAGCGGTTGCACGCTCAGTGCTTTGATGTGAAGACACTGGGTAGGTGCCAAAGGAAGGATTTTGAATCCTGGCTTTGGCTTCTATGCTGTAGATCAAAGTCTCACTTCATGCAAGAGAAATGGGGGAAAAAAGGAAGTTTAATTAACTACATTATAGTTTTTTCCAAAGTAGATTTGACTCTAAAAGCTGATCTGGGATGTGGGAGATCCTTTTCCAGCAGTCATTTGTAATCAAAGTGGCAGTGAGTGATGCTCAGTGTCTTCACACAGTTCTCACCTCACCATCTTAGAATGTTATTGCAGTGATGTTAAGAACATGATCCAGGAGCAGCTGGAGGAAGAAGTAATTGAATTTGGACATGCAAAATATAAAATGGTTTCTGCTCCAGACCTTGTGCTATTATCTTGTAACTCACAAGTAATTTTGGCCTTTCTGCTGATAAGGCTTCTTGCTGCCTGCCTGTGCTGGAAAAGCGCCCTTGCTCCACAGACAGCCCCTTCACACCCCTGGAAGTCAGCCCAGCAGCTCTGCAAATTTCGCAAGAAGAGGACATCATTTATAAAACACCCATCCAAGCCCCTTCTCTGCTCACATCAATCCAATGAGCCTTTTGGCTTACACCAAACAGGGTTTTGTGCATTGGAGCTTGGAGCTTTTAATTTAATTTAGTGTTGTCTGTACATTTCTGTTTGAGGCTTTGAAGAGACAGTGAATAAGTTAATGGGTGTTTTTATGGCCAAACAGATCTGCTCATACCAGGAACAAGAGGGAAACACTGATTCTATTTTCTAGATTTGTTATTGCTGTTGTTTTGTGGGGTTTCTTAATGCAGACAGTTTGGAAGAAGTTAGCAAAGGTAGTGCAAGGAAAAAGATCAAACTTCAAAGTGACCTCTAAAGACCAGGATGGGAAATCTGTGCCTGAGCACCAGCCTCTGAGGAGCCAGATCTGTGTGTCTTTTGCCCCCATGTAAGGAACTTTCCCCAAATGTTACATTACAAAAGCATTTCATGCTAATACAAAACAGGTGCAGCAAGGCTGAACAGCTGATGGACTAGAAAGAAAACCTGACCTACAAAATCAGATTGCTGCAGCTATTTCAGGTAATCAAAGATTATGACGAGTTGTGCATTTTTTTTTTTTCTGGTCACTCTCTTGATATACTTTTATATACATATATTCTGTTAATGTAAGATAACTAATATAGTTGGCAAAATCATATTAATATAAAATTCCATGTGTGATTATGTGTTTAAGGATTCTAACATCCTTTTTTTCTGCACAAAATCAACCAGTGAATCAGTTTCAGTACAAGCTTACTTGGGAAGTCATTGGTACAGCTGATGGAAAATGTGGATTTTATTTTGTTTTTGAAATAAATATTAAATTGTACCAAAACCAGCTTTAATGGTGGCACTGGATTATTTCTGTGGCTCAAAAATTCTGTTGTGGCTTGTGTGGCTGAATAACCAAAGTGAACCCTGGGGAGGCAAGTGCTGGGGCTGAGGGAAACACCAGGGTGGCTGCAGCTGGGAGTCACCCAAAAGTCCAGTAACTGCTGGTCCTGCAGGATGTCCGGGCCAAACCCATTTTTGAGACAGCTTTGAGCAAAGCACCTGCCATTATCTCCTCATCTCCTTGCTGTGACCATCCTGACTGACCCTAGTTTCCCTGTTGTTAGAAGCCAGTATTCAGGAATCAGGGTGGTAGTGCAATCTCTGGCACAAGAAAAGCATCTCAAAATAGTGAGGTACATAAATTCAACACATTCATCTCCCCCATTCGACTCCTTGTTTACTGTTAGAGCTTTAGCAAAGCAACTGGTTTGGTTTTCTTCACCCTATTTTTGCAGACAAGCATTGCTTCCACACTCCCACAGAGATACATGTCTTACATATCCCAGTCCTAGAGGCATTTATGAAAATAAAGCATTAACCCTCTTTTGACATCTTCATTTCTGCAGAATCTCCTTTCCTTGGGCCCAAGAGACAGGAACTGGAAAAAGTGTGAAGCTTTCAACGTGCTGGCTGAAGACTGATACCAATGTGGAATTTCATGGTGGTTTTGTGACTCTAGGTGAGAAATTCCTGTTAAGTCTGAATGAGTAAATTCTGTAAAAGCCATAATTACAGACCAAAAATCAGTTCCTTTTGGTGATTCTGCACTGAGCTTGTGGGCAAACAAAGTTGCTGAGGAAGCAGCTCTTCCCCCTCCTCAGAGAAATACCATGC